TGTGTGTGTGTGTGTGTGTGTGTGTGTGTGTGTGTGTGTGTGTGTGTGTGTGTGTGTGTGTGTGTGTGACCTGTGATATGAGCAGCTGACAGGACGACAGCTCTCTGCCGGTCTCCTCCATCTTTCGGTGACAGTCAGTCTGTAAAGCCTCCAGCTGTCCGCAGCGTTTCACCACCGACTTCAGCTCAGACTTGACTTTGCTCACATACACACACACCACGGCGTATTCCTCCTCCTGCACACCTGACAGGTCACACGGCTGACGGACACACACATTTACTGACACAATCAGCCTTATTCTGCATCTTTACTTCATTCTTTTGTTTTATTACAGAATTACTTCACACAGAGATGAAAACTCTCATTATTCACTGATAATCAGCTCTCAGATCTCATTCATAAACGCTGCACGATGTGATCAGAATCAAAAGCATCTGATCATTGATTATTCAAAATCACTTGACTGCAGAAATCATACTAAAACTTTAACTGGAATTAAAGTGAAAACAGAAAATATAAATATAAAAATAAAATCTAATTAAATTAACAAAATATCTTAAATAAATAAATTAACTAATTAAAATAAAATGAGCAAAATCTATAATAGTATATACATTTTTAATTTAGTTTAACTTGATGTAATAAACTAAAATGAATAAATAAAAAATAAAAAATAGACATATAGATAAATAAAAATAACAAAAACACACAACAAAATTACTAAAACGTTAGAATTACTAGAATTTAAGTGAAAATATAAAAATAAAATAATTCAAAATAAAAAACTGTAGTAGTATATTTATAATAAATAATGACAGAATATTCATTTTGGGATGAATATTGATTCTTTTTGTTACATTTCCTGATTGTTAATCTCTGATTTCACTCTGCACTGTTATGCATCTTATATTTATTATCATTTAGTTTATCTTCTTTCTATTATTATCTTCAGTTTTCTATTGCTTTTATTTTATTAGTCAATTAGTCTTAAATCGCTGGGGTATATTTGTAGCAATAGCCAACAATACATTGTATGGGTCAAAATTATACATTTTTCTTTTATGCCAAAAATCATTAGGATATTAAGTAAAGATCATGTTCCATGAAGATATTTTGTACATTTCCTACCGTAAATATATCAAAACTTAATTTTTGATTAGTAATATGCATTGCTAAGAACTTCATTTGAACAACTTTAAAGATGATTTTCTCAATATTTAGATTTTTTTGCACCCTCAGATTCCAGATTTTCAAATAATTGTATCTCAGCCAAATATTGTCCTATCCTAACAAACCATACATCAATGGAAAGATTATTTATTCAGCTTTCAGATGATGCATAAATCTCAATTTCGAAAAATTGACCCTTATGACTGGTTTTGTGCTCCAGGGTCACATATCAGTTTTCTTTAGGCCTATTTTGTAGCACAACTTTGGCAACTCAAATGTGCATAATTGCAATGAATTTAAACGAGAGAGAAAAAGCAAATCAGATAAAAGATAAGCAACAACACAAACTCTTCTAATGTTCCAGTTCCAGCCAAACAGTGATTTATTGATCATGTCACACACTCGCTCACCAGTCTGAGGTCTCCGTTTCCCAGTATGAAGCTGAAGTCATTGATATCCTTCATCAGAGTGTTTAACACCTCAGTGATGCGCTTCCTCTGGTGGCCACTCACTTCCTGTAGCCGGGAAAACTCCGCCTCCAAACACATCAGATCCGACTGAGAGAAGACCGTGATTAAACATTATTCACTGCATGGAAACATACTTTAATTCAGCACTGATGATTTAATCAGCAGCTCAAGGAAGGCAGTTCCTGCTAACATGACTGCTGGTGTTTATATCATTATAGGTCTTACTTTTACTGCTCAATGAATATTATGCCATGCTTGCGAAACACTAATAGACACAAGACAGTAATAATAAAACTTGTTTAAATTAAGCCAATAAATTCTATTATTTGTACTACAGATCTGGGGAAACAACATTTTATACCCCTTATTCCTTATTTTAGTTTTTAAGTCTCTTCTGCTCACCAAGGTTGCATTTATTTGAACAAAAATACAGTAACTACAGTAAAAATTGTGAAGGTATAATATAAAATAGCTATTTTCTATATGAATATGTTAAAATATAATATTTCTGTGATCAAAGCTGTATTTTCAGCATCATTACTGCAGTCTTCAGTGTCACATGATCTTCAGAAATCATTCTAATATGCTGATTTGCTGCTCAAGAAACATTTCTGATTATTATCAATGTTGAAAACTGTTGTGCTGCACAATATTTTTGTGCAAAACGTGATGCATTTTATTTTGCAGGATTCACAGATGAATAGAAAGTTCAAAAGAATGGCATTTATTTGAAATAGAAAACTTGTATCATTATAAATGTCTTTACTGTCACTTTTGATCAAGTCCCTAATGAATAAAAGTATTAATTTAAGACTTTTGAATGGCAGCATGAATTTGAGAAACAGGCAGGAATGAATGAGTAAAAGACAAGAGAATATTCAGCCCTACATGAAAGCTCTGTGGAATATGTAGGTAATTATGAAGAAAAAGCTCACGAGATCAAAGCAGAACATGTGGCTCCTCAAGCCAAACAGCATGTGCTACATTAAGATATTTTGCAAATGAAGGGCTAGTTTGCGTACGGTTTTGTGCGACAGCTCCGCGATGAGGCGTCTGTTGTGGATCCTCGTGTCTTCGGCCTCCTGACTCTTCTGGTCGTAGGTCAGAGCGAGTTCCTCCAGCGCCTGCAGAACCTCCTTCACCTCGGTCTTTGCGCTGTCGCTGTCCGCTTGAAGACGACTCAACTCGCACTGCACACGCTCACCGTCTCCACGCGACGACGCTAGCAGCTAAACACACACACAGAGTATGCAGTTTCCCTGACCTACTTTACACAACAAGACTCAAATCATCCACTATGCAGTTTTATATTCATGTAGTGGGCGTTTTGGGAATATAACACTAGCATACTACTCATACTATTTTTGCAGTATGCATACTGTGCACAATATATGAGTTTTCTGTATGCAGTACATTCTGCACAGTATGCAATATGTAGTATGCTATTAATGCAGTAGCTGAATCTGGAATATTACACTAGCATACTACTCATACTATTTTTGCAGTGTGCATACAACACACAATATCTGAATTTTCCGTAAGCATGGAATATGTAAAACGTATGCATTACATTCTGTGCAGTGTATTCCATTATATACAGTTACTGACTCTGAAATATTACACTAGCATACTATTCATACTTGTCTTTTGCAGTATGCATACTGCGCACAATATGTAAATTTTCTGTATGCATGGAATATTAAAAAAAGAATGCATTACATTCTGTGCAATGAGCAGTATACTAGTATTCCAGTGTATACAGTTACTGAGTCCAGAACGTTACACTAGCATACTACTCATACTATTTTTGCAGTATGCATACTGTCCACAATCTGTAAGTTTTCTGTTTGCAGTACATTCTGCACAATATGTGATATGTAGTATGCTATTACACCAGTATCTAAATCTGGAATATTACACTAGCATACTACTCATAGTATTTTTGCAGTATGTATACTGTGCAAAGTATGTGAATTTTCTGTATGCATGGAAAACTAAAAAAAGTATGCAGTACATTCTGCACAGTATACAATATGCAGTATGCTAGTATTCCAGTGCATACAGGAACTGAATCCAGAAGCGCATACTATCATACTGCTTGTACTATTTTTGCAGTATACATACTGTGTACAATAAAAAGTATGCAGTAAAGTTTTGCACAGTTTGCAAAATGCAGTATGCTATTATTCCAATGTACATGGAGCCTGAATCTGGAAAAGTATACTGTCATACCACTCATACTATTTTTGCAGTATGCATTCTGTGCACAATATGTACATTTTCTGCATGTACTAAAAAAGTATCAAGTACATTCTATGTACATTATCAAAGTATGCAGTATGCAATGCGCAGTATGCTAGTATTCCAATGTATACAGTGTCTGAATCCGGAATATTATACTGCCATACTACTCTGTTTTTGCAGTATGCCTACCGTACACTATATGTACATTTTCTGTATACATGGAATCCTAAAAAAAGTATGCAATCCATTCATCACAGTATGTAATATGTACTGTAGTATGCTATTATTCTAGTAGCTGAATCTGGAATATTATGATTTTGCAGTATGCATAGTGTGCACAATATGTGAATTTTCTGTATGCATGGAGTACTAAAAAGTATGCAATACATTCTGCATAGTTTGCAATATGCAATGTGCTTCTTTTCCAGTTTAGTGGCATAATGTTGAGTATTACACTACCATACTACTCATATTATTTTTGCCATATTAAGTTGTGGTAGTATGCAAATATGATTTCAGCAAGTGTTTTACCTCTTCTTGATCCAGCATTTGCTCCTTCAGTTTTTCCACCAGCTGACACTGTAGATTAATCTCATCGTCCTGTCAGAGAGAAAAGAATCAATCAGAAAGTCAATTTTTCCATGCGTTGTTTACTCCCATTGTTCTGTGTGTGTGTGTGTGTGCGTGTGTGAGAGAGTGTGTGTGTGTGTGTGTGTGTGTGTGTGTGTGTATGTGAGTGTTTGTGGTGTGTGGGTGTATGTGTGTGTCTGTATGTGTGTGTCTGTGTGTGTGTGTGTCTGTGTGTGTGTGTGTGTGTGTGTGTGTGTGTGTGTGTGTGTGTGTGTGCTCGTACCTTGTCGTCGAGCTGTTTGTAGAGTTTGCGTATGTCTTCCTCATATTTGAGCTTGTGTTCCTCTGGGATTCGCTCACACGCGCCATTGCTCTGATTGTCTAAAGCTGCGTCTTCACTGACATCAGATTCGACAGGAATCACAGCCATGAGATCCAGCGGCGTGACAAACTCACCTGCAGCACAATCACACACTCATTTACCACATTTACTATAGCAAAATCAGAAGACATTATTCTGGGATTTCCTTTAAACAGTGTAAGGTTTTATAATCTTTCTCATTTTGTTGAATGACCTTGGTTTAGTAGAGTTTTATTTTAGCAACTCTTGCATTAATTACTTCTAATGTGGTAGTACCATGGTATTTTTTTTAGTAAGTGGTCTAAAAACATGGTATTCCCATAGTAAATGTCTGATAAATCATAGTATTACCATGGAGCATGTCCAAAACACTCATGGTACTTTTTTCATGAGTAAAGAGCAGCTGTAGTGACTGAACTTCTGAAGAAACCTTTGAGTGTTTTTTGTGTCAAAAAGAGAGAAATAATGCATATTTCCACACCGTTATGCCAGTGGTTAAGCTCCGCCTCCAGTCTCTGGATGTTCTCTTTCAGGTTCTTGTTCTTCTCCTTCTCTTTCTCATATTTCCTCTTCCACTGCTCTGCCTCCTGCAGGATCCGCGTCATCTTACTGTCTCGGTACGGCACGTGAGTCTTCTGCTCACACACAGCACAGAGTTATTAACAGTGTTGGAGAGTTTGTTTGCAGTTCTTGCTGCTAAAGGTGGCACAAACAGATTTTAAGTTTAAAGGGGCAAATAGTTTTTTCTCACGGGTGATAGCTGGTGTTTAGATATACACAGTATTTAAATGGGTTAAGACTGTCTGTCTTCTACTTTGAACTGCAATAATTTCATGCATGTTATGTTTGTATTAGTTATATGCAGCTGTAACTCACGGTTCCTTCAGCCAGAGCTGATATGACGTTCCCCAGCGCAGACAGAGACTTGTTGATGTTCTTGGCTTCATCCAGGACGGCTCCTTCTGCACCTGTCTTACTCACCTGACCAACACACACAGATTCATGGTTATGGGGCTGTTCACATACACTGTATAAATTCCAGTGTAAAGAGTAAGTAATTTTAGAATATCGCACTAGCATACTACCTGTACTGTTTTTGCAGTATGTATACTGTACACAACATGTGAATTGTCTGTATGCATGGAGTACTAAAAAGTTTGCAGTACACTATCTGCAGTATGCATTATGCTAGTATTCCAGTGCATACAGTGGCTGAATCTGGAGTAGCATAATACCATACTACTTATACTATTTTTGCAGTATGCATAATGTGCACATTATGTGTAGTACAATATGCATTCTGTGCAGTATGCTAGTATTCCAGTGTGGCTGAATCCACAATATAACACTAGCATACTACTCATACTATTTTTGTAGTATGCATACCGTGCACAATATGTGAATTTTCTGTATGCATGGAATACTAAACTGTCTGCAGTATGCTAATATTGCAGTGTATACAGTGGCTGAATCCACAATATTACACTAGCATACTAATCGTACTATTTTTGCAGTAGGCATACTGTGCACAATATATGAATTTTCTGTATGCATTGAATATTAAAAAAATATGCAGCATTTTTTGTGCAGTATACATTATGCTAGTATTCCAGTGGAAACAGTGGCTGAATCCACAATATTACACTAGCATACCACTCATACTATTTTTGCAATATACATATTGTGCAAATATGCAAATTTTCAGCGTGCATGGAATACTAACTAGTATGTAGTACATTCTGCACAGTATGCTAGTATTCCAGTGCATACCGTGGCTGAATCCGGAATATTATAGTATGCATAATGTGCACAATGTGATTTTTCTGTATGCATGGAATGCTAAAATGTATGCAGTATGCTAGTATTCCAGTGTATACAGTTGCTGAATCGGGAACATTACACTAGCATACTACTCTTACTATTTTTTACAGTATGCATACTGTGCACAACATGTGAATTTCATTAGCTATGTTTCCATCCAAAGTTGCTAATTTCATATATGTGAAACTATTGGAATATTGCGTAAAACATTTGCGAATAAATCCCATCCAATGTGTTCAAAAGAACAAAATCATCAGTTTCTGGGAAACTGGTGCAAAGCATCAAATAATAAAGCCACTGTGACTTTTCTTTTCCTACATAATAAATTATTTGTGTCTCAGAGCGCGCAGGCGAAATGCAATAACAATCGCTGTCATGTTATCTTGCGTTCGGATGCCTCATGTTCGGGACTCAATCTTGTGAGACAGTTAATTATTTCAAATGATTTTGATGACAGACTTTGATTTAGGCAATACAAAATAAATAAAACAACATTTGAGACTGTGTGCGATGAGATCGGTCCACTGGTTAGTCAAAGTCATATGAGTTTTTTGTTGCATATCAAGGAATTTATTCAGTAAATGTTTTCACATTGTAGTTTATGTGCATGCCTACTTGTCGGTTGCATATGTTTTTTCCATCCAGCGTTTTTTGTGCAATACCCCACAAGTTGCATTAAAATACGTGCATGAAAACACAGTTATTGACATGTTTAAGCCATTAATGAGATCTCATTAGTGATTGTTCTTTCCTACAGGTGGACACACTGTTGTGAAGCTCTTGTGAAGCTAAAGGATGTCAAAGTCTGAAAGCACCTTCTCGCTCCCGGCCAGATCCACCAGGTAAAGTTTTCCACAGAGTTTCTGCTCGGTCTCCACGTGCTCCTGCTTGATGTTGATGAGGAATATGCTGTGGCTTCTGGAGCTGTGTTCATTCATATCTGACATACGACAGCACAGCAGTCAGATCATTTGATTAGTAGCTTTACATTACATTCATGCATTTGGCAGATGCTTTTATCCGAAGTGACTTGCATTGCATTGAAGGCGTGCATGTGATCAGTTTATGCATTCGCTGGGATTCAAACCCATAACCTGCAGTTTGAGTTATAGCAATGCTTCTGTGATTTTCTGTTAGTGTGGGTTAGAGAAACTCACTTGTAACAGCAACGTGGCGGTTGGCTTTGCCTTCATCAATAACATCCATCACTTCTTCAGGACTGGAGACAAAACGTTCAGTACAACCCTGTACAACACACACACACACACACACACACACACGCTGAATGTGATGGCTGGTCTTTATCTAATAATAGCAGGTGCTCCCTGAGATCTCATGGTTCTTTCACTGTCAGTCTCTCATCAGTAATCAACTGACACAAGTTTATAGTAATAAACTGACACAAGATGAATTCATAAAATGAGTCTGTTTATCATTCAACAGTCAGTATTTCAACACATCCATTCTGAAATGATTCCCATCATGTGTGTCACTGCTTCATATTACAGGCTTAAATAGCACCACATACAGTATGGTATATTATCATATATCAAATCAAATAAGATATGTGATGCAATATTATGTTACTGTACTCGATCACATATGTATATACAGTATATGGTCCAATATAACATGTAATATGATTTGATATGATATGAGATTAATGATATGACATATGATATGGGTTATGATACAAGATTATGATACCATATGATTTAATATATGATATGATTAATATGATGCCTCAAGCATGGCTCCTACATATATACAATATTATGATACTATATGATATGATTTGATATGATAAGATACAATGTGATAGATGATGATTACATATGATATGAGATAATAAGATACATGATGTGATATGATAAAAGATATATGATACAGTATATGATGATATCATATATGATATGAGATATGATACAATATTATTATACTATATATGATATAATGATACAATATATATGATATGATACCATATGATACGATACGATATTATATATGATATATGTTATGGGATATGATACAAGATTATGATACTACATGATTTAATATATGATACGATTAATATGATGCCTCGGGCATGGCTCCTACATATGATTTTTATTTATTTATTTATTTAGTCATTTAGCAGACGCTTTTATCCAAAGCGACTTACAAATGAGGACAATAAAAGCAGTCAAAACTAACAAAAGAGCAACAATATAGAAGTGCAAATGACAAGTATATGTCATTTGTATATGTATATATGATATATACAATATCATGATACTATATGATATGATTTGATATGATAAGATACAATGTGATAGATGATGATGATACGATAAGAGATTATAATATATACGATGTGATATGATAAAATATATGATGTATTATGATATATATACATTATTATGATACTATATGATATGATTTGATATAATACAATATATAATATATGATGCAGTACTATAAGTTATATGATTTCATATTATGTATGATATAACACAATATATGATATGATTTGATAAATGGTTTTTATTATGAAATATGATATGATACAATCCAATATAATATATCATGCATGATATGAAATCTGATATGATTCAAAATATTATCTATCTATATATCTAGCATATATTATGTCATATATGATGAGGAACGATAATATTTATCTTATTTTTTTAAGTTTTTTTTTTCAGTAAAGGCTCTTTTTGGACGGGAGGAAGTTTTGAGTTCTGAAAGTGACTCATTTATTTGAGCAAGGTTCGATTGCTGCTGATTTTTGAGCGTGTTCACGCAGCATGATTCAGCTCACCTTCACATAGGGAACTCGGTTCTTGTCTTCATGCACGGACAGGTTTGTCTTACTCACTTAGAGAAAGAGAGAGAAAGAGAGGCGGATGAGGGTCAAAGAACAGAAGACAGAAATGGAAATGCACTGCAAAACGAGAAAGAACAAAGAAAAGAGGCTTAAATGGTTTGTTCACCCCCCAGTAGTTTCAAAGCTGTGTAACTTTATTTCTTTTGTGGAACACCAAGATGTTTAACACAATGATGATTTGTACTGTAAGCTCAAAAACCACTGTGCAAATCATAAAAGCAGTCTTGTATGTTTCAGGTTCTTGCGTGTCTGATGCATTTCGCTCTGTTTTTCACATAAACCATATTGTAAGACTTCAGAAGAGTTCGTTTGCAAACACTGCGTTTAAGGTGTTTAGTACGGAAGCCTGTTTCATGGAATAAATAAGATACAAAAGGTAATTGCAACTTTTGATCTCATAACTCTGACCTTTACTTCATTTTTTTCCTCCAAATGTATCTTGCAGTTCTGTGAAGTCTTAATTGTGAGATAAAATGTTGAAATTACCTTTTTTATTCCATGGTGTTTAGATAATATTATAGTTCTTATTAATAGTTTGAATTATTTTTACATTTTCTGTTTTTATTTTAAAGTTGTAGTAATTTAGTTAGTGTTTTGTCATTTATTATTATTATTTGTTTGCATGTGTCTATATAGTTTTTATTTATAGTTTTTATTTTATTATTTTTATTATATATATTTGTTATTTTAGTTTTATTTATTTTAGTACATCACATTAACCTAAATTATTTTTTTTTACATAAAATACATTTAGATATTAATATATTTAAAAAAAATGTTTTTTTACATATTTACATGTTATATTTTATTTCAGGTAACATTTATTTTATTGCAAGTGTTTATTTCAAATGTTTTATTTTTTATTTCAGTTGTTTTAATACATTTAAGTTTTTTATAATTTATTTCATTTTATTTATTTATTTTTTATTTCAAGTAATTATTTTTTTATGGTTTTAGTTTTAGTTAACTATAATAACCCTGCTTCTTTCATTTTAGCATGAACTTTTTGGTAACCACTTTATTTTGGGCTCCACAGAAGAACGGAGGTCAAGCGGGTTTGGAGCGACATGAGGGCGAGTAAATGATGACAGAATCTTCATTTTTGGCTGAATTATTCCTTTAATGAGCACACGCACATGTAATGCACGGACAGTTCTCAGTGTTTATTATGACACTTCAATGATGTAATGACCCTTCGAGACAGACACACACACACACACTCTCTCTCACACACACACACACACACACTCACACACACACACTCACACACACACACACACACACACACACACACACTCACACACA